GAAGGGGTTTTTTGTTGTCATCCGTGCATGCCAGTTGTTGGCACAGAAAAATGAAGGAATAATATTGGTAGGATTAGCAGGTCCTTCTGGAGCAGGGAAGACTGTATTTACAGAGAAGATACTCAACTTCATGCCCAGCATTGCCACAATATCGATGGACAACTATAACGAAGCTAGTAGAATTGTTGATGGCAACTTTGATGGTAACTCATCTTTTCTCTCATTTGTTGGCAACTATAATGATTCTAGCATGCAACTTTTGACTCATACCTGCCTTCAATTTGAGTTGTTGTTCTTATCCTTTGGTTTTGCGTTTAAAGATGTGCAATATCATGTATGTTGTTGAATGTGGTTTATATTTATATGAATAGAAAACGATATATGCTTGTTGCCTTGAAGTTTTATTTGATTATTTACATGTCCGGTTTAGATGTTGAGGATTTAACTGAGAGCAAGCAAAGCAGTAAACTGACATTATTCTGATTCTTTTGAACAACAGATCCACGCTTGACAGATTATGATAAGTTGCTCCAGAACCTTCATGATTTAAAGGAAGGGAAAGAAGTTCAGGTTCCCATCTATGATTTCAAGGCTAGTTCCCGAGTAGGATACAGGTTGAAAACTCATTCATTTAGTGCATATCAGTACTATCATTTGCTTAAAAAGCTCTAGAGGGTTAAGTTTTTGCAGGTATGCCAGAGAAAAGTAATTAGTATTAATATTTAATAGTAAAATGCATTAGACCTGATCAATGTAGTTTAGAGAATGCGATTTACTGTCTTCTTAATCCATTGTACAAAATGGATACTTAATCATATAGAATATAGTGCTTTCATTCTTATGTAGTAGTAGAGTTTATATTTTACCCTGGCTTGTTCTTATGACAGGACCCTTGAAGTTCCTAGCTCCCGCATTGTAATTATTGAAGGCATCTATGCTTTGAGTGAAAAGTTGCGACCTATGCTGGATCTTCGAGTATCTGTCACAGGGGGAGTTCACTTTGACCTTGTTAAACGAGTCCTACGAGACATACAGCGTGCTAGCCAAGAACCTGAAGAAATAATCCATCAAATATCTGAAACTGTATGTTCTACTCCTTTCTCTTTTGGGGTTGCGTTTTATTGCCTAAGATAGAGAAAAGGCATTCCTATTGTTGTTTTGTAAAATTTGATCAGTATACTTCTATGTTCTAATTTTTCTTTCTAGGGTAGAACTCAGCATGTTCTCTGTTATACAGGTATATCCAATGTACAAGGCCTTCATCGAGCCAGATCTCCAAACAGCACAGATAAAAATCATTAACAAGTTCAACCCATTTACTGGTTTTCAAAGTCCTACTTATATTTTAAAGGTTTCTATTTGCACCTACCTCTTTAGCTGTTTCTTCACCACAAATTATATGATACCGGTGATACTCTGGTATCTATGTCCTTATATGTTCTTGCATCTGTTTTTTTAATTGTAGTCAGCAAGAAAGTTAACAGTCGATCAAATTAAGAGTGTCTTATCTGAAGAACATACAGAGACAGAGGAGCAGACTTATGATATATACCTTCTACCTCCTGGTGAAGATCCTGAATCTTGTCAATCATATCTGCGGATGCGGAATAAAGATGGAAAATACAGTCTTATGTTTGAGGTTTGTCCCTCAGATTTATGCCTCTTTTTTTCACTAGTTGTGTCCCTTTAGATGTGAGATCATATTCTCATCAGTGACTGACAGTTCCACTTGTCCTTCATGCATTACAGGAGTTAAGTTTTTATAGGACACTGGAGGTATAACTATAGATATGTTGAGAAAGTATGTATGTGCTTGAAGCAGATGTTAATTATGAAAAAATAAAATGTCGTGTCCCAATGACCTTGTTCCATCAAATGAAGTTATCTGAAGAAGAAATGTTGGATTGAAGTTCTTTTTTCTACTAATATGTTCGTTAACACACTACCTATTCAAGTTAGTCTGATTTAATAGCCGGTGATACTTGTTTTCAGGAATGGGTAACAGATATTCCATTTGTTATATCTCCGAGAATTACGTTTGAAGTTAGTGTGCGCCTTCTTGGTGGGCTAATGGCCTTGGGTTATACAATAGCAGCCATTCTCAAAAGAAATAGCCATGTATTCTCCGATGATAAAGTATGTGTGAAAATTGATTGGCTGGAACAGCTAAATCGTCAATATTTTCAGGTATTTGAGAGAATCCTTAATCTTCTTTTGAGTACTAAAATGTGGCGTTTTAATGTACTTCTGGAGTTATTTGTCTATTTTCCAATGTATCTTTTGGACTGTTTATAAACTTATGTGTATGGGTTTAATATGGTTAACACTTCAAATGCTAGATAAGTGCCATTTATCAGTCTTGGAAATGGCCTAACTGGCATTTTAGGGTGCTCAGATAATAATGTGGGGAATTTGATGCTTTATTGCATTGAAAACATTGGGCATATTTGTGCTTCAAAATAATATGGTCTGTTATCTTGAAAATAATGCTAAACCATTTATTTCTAGATTGTTTGTGTCTGTATTCGGTGTTGGTAATCGTGTTTTGACATTCTTAAATAGGTGCAAGGAAGAGATCGGTCAGTTGTAAAATGTGTTGCGGAGCAACTTGGTTTAGAAGGCTCATATATTCCACGTACCTATATCGAACAAATCCAATTGGAAAAGCTTGTAAATGAGGTTATGGTATGAAAAACCTCGAAATCTGGTAATGTCTTTTCAATTTTAGTCGGCTAGTCGGTCTTATTTAATTATCGGACAGGCCCTACCAGAGGATTTGAAGACAAAGCTCAGCCTAGACGAGGATCTCGTATCAAGCCCCAAAGAAGCACTCTTGCGAGCCTCTGCAGATAGGGTTGCCTTGAGAAATAGGCATCTCAAAAGGTACAAGCGTTCAATACATCACTTTATGCTGCATAAGAATGTTAATGACCTATATGAGTGGATTTAACTAAATAGAGTTGATGTTTGCCAACAAAAACAGCGGCATGTCACATTCGTATTCAACTCAAAGGGAGAAGAATATGTCAAACTTTGCTGGATACAATGTGAACAGCAGGAGGTTTGGTGAACGGAATTCAGAGTCGGCACTAGCGGACGAGGTTTTTAGCTTTAGCTTTTATAGCTTTGTGAATGATCTTATGCTAATTTATCTTGAAATGCTTTGGCAACTTATTTCTCCTGTATTACTCATCTGCACAATGTAGGGAGTCATCACTCAGCTTTCGGAACAGATATCCGCTCTGAATGATAGAATGGACGAGTTTACATCGCGTATCGAAGAGTTGAATTCCAAGTTAGCTGTCAAGAATCCTACTTCCAGCCAACAAAACTTGGCTTTCCAAGCCGAATCTTGCAATGGTTCTGCTCCAACTTCTCACTTCATTAATGGTTTAGGAAATGGTTCCATTATGCCCAATACCTTATTATCCTCCCAGCTGGCTAAGGATTCGCCTATAATGGAAGAGGTACTGTAACCGGTCTCGTATGTCCTTTTATTCGAACTGTTTAGTCTGGGGGTCATAGGTTCTTGAATTATACTTGGTATGAGTTCGAGAGTCCAGGGGCTGTCTTCACGGTTTATCTTTCGAGAAAAGTCATCTCGATGGGATAGGACCCTTGCTTATAAGACCACTGCGAGATCCATTTTTCTCCCTCAGCAGACATCAACTGGCTAGGAGTTCATAGTTCTGATGGAAGTAGGCCTTGCAGCTTATTAATTCAAATGTGTCTAAATATTGTGTGTTGTTTTGCAACGCAGATATCGAGCGTTGCACGAGGACAAAGACAGATCATGCATCAGTTAGACAACCTTAGTAATCTCCTCCATGAGAGAATCGGAGAGAGATCACAGCAAGCTAATACAAGAAAGAAGAACACGCTGGCTGTCGGTCGAGATCCTGTTAAAGTTTCTCTAATTTTAACGACACTGGCAATCGGCGGTCTGGGAATCATCTTATATAGGGGCATTTTAACCCGAGGCTGATTCGATCGTATTTTTTTGCACACATTTGATATCCCTTTTCTATTTTTAAAGATTTTCTATTGTCCCAATGTTACTACTTCTGCCTCAAGAAAGACAACTGAAACTGATGAATGAAAGAGTTACTAGGGGGTGCAAAACATAAACAAAACTATTTCTTTCAAGGCTAGGTTGTCCTGGAGGGGTTTTAATAAAGAAGAGTGCACTTCTATCTTTGGGCTAATTTGTTTAATTTTTTTTAATTAATCACTGGTATTCGATCTATTGATCGACTAATTCAGATTGGGTACTGCAGAGGCGAGGGCGACTCTTCCAACTCAGTTTGCTTCATTCGCAAACGTCAGGATTCGAACCCTGATCTTACTTAAGGGACTTAGTGTCTCATTAATCTTTTTCTTTTTATATATAAAATTTGAGTTTAAAGAGAATTCATTATGTCTCATGATAATATATATTATTAATTAAATTTTTAATAAAAGTATTAGTAAAATAATAAAATTATAGTATTAAAAATTGATTCAAAATTGTATCAAATTTGGGTTAATGAGAATCTTTCATTTTCCATGATGATAATGAAAATATTTTTTATATTTTATTAATCGGATTTTTGATAAAATCTATATAAAAAGTTAAAATATAAAGCAATAAGATTATGATATTAAATTAAATAAATTAGTATTTTTTTATTATATTATTTTATATTTTAACAAAAAATATGAAAAAAGAAGAAGGTTAAATGGATAAAAGAACAAAAAATAAGGTTGAATGGATAAAAGTTTCGTTTTGTCATTTTTCGTTATCCTTATTAATCATGATGTAATCTTATAATAGATCAATAATATTAATGATTCGAACATGAATGAATTCTAAATTAGTATAATCTGAAGGGGAAAAAATGGGTTAATCCGATACTGTTTAAATAATTATTTGTTATAAAAAATGAATTAATAAATCCATAGCCCTAGTTAACGGGTAAAAGAGTCATCGATGATAGTCTAAATGGGCCACCAGCCTCCTAACTCAAAAACCCAATACGAAAACGAAATAAAAGTCTCAACCTTTAACCATCAAGATCAAGGCTCTTCCTTTGTTTTTGGCTGCTGTGTGATCTGATGACAGATATGAAGAAGAAGCCATAACTTGTCTCTGGGTTCCCGATTTTATCCTAGGTTAGTCTCTCTTCGCACTTTTACAATTTTTAATCTCATGTATTCACCTTTTTTACACTCCGTTGTCCTCGATTTTGTTTGATCCCAACTCTTTTGATATGTTTCTTCTTTACTGATGGAATTTATGAGAAAACCCCATTTTTTTAAAGTCCTAAATTACCCAGAAGTCTTTCATGAAATCTCACGGATTATGCTGCAATCATTTTATATGGAACGTTTCAACCTTTAACAATTGATTGATATATATAAAATTAAAATTATTCAGATGGGTGATGTTTCGGCTCCGGATTTGATAAGTGATTTGCCTCAAAGCATTGTAGAAAGTATCCTCACGCGTTTACCCATTCGAGATGCTGTTAGAACTAGCATTTTATCGAGTAGATGGAGGTATAAATGGGCAACGCTTACTCAACTTTTATTTGATGAAAAGTGTGTGATTTCATCAAATGATCGGTGTAAAGTCGAGGATAGTCTTGTTAAGTTCATCACTCGAACTCTTTTTCTGCACCAAGGGCCGATTCATAAGTTCCAGCTCACGACTTCGCACTTGCAGTGCTGCCCGGATATCGACCAATGGTTACTTTTCCTTTCGAGGAATGACATCAAGGAGTTGGTTCTTGAATTGGGAGAAGGAGAGTGGTTTAGGGTTCCTTCATGTCTTTTTAACTGTAAAAAGCTGACCCGTCTGGATCTTTTCCGTTGCGAATTTGATCCGCCGCCTAGTTTTAAAGGGTTCTTGTGCTTGAAGAGTCTTAATCTTCACCAGGTTTTAGTTTCCCCTGAGGCAATTGAAAGTCTTATATCTAGTTGCCCTCTTCTCGAAAGCTTAGCATTGTCGTACTTTGATAGTCTAGCGCTTACCATCATTGCTCCGAATCTCAAGTATTTGTGTCTGGAAGGTGAATTCAAAGACATTTGTCTCGAAAATACCCCACTTTTAGTTGCAATGTCGGTTGCCATGTATATGACTGATGACATAGCTGAACACTTTGAGCAAAGCTCAAGCTGCAACTTTAACAGGTTTCTTGGCAGTGTGCCTCGTCTTGAGAGGCTAATCGGGCATATATACTTCACGAAGGTAAAACTATGTCGGATTTCTACTTTTGGCTTGTTAACTTTTATTTAGTTTATATTTGTTAAAAGGGTACTGTCTGTTAAATTGTCTTTTGAAGTATTTGAGCATAGGTGATGACCTTGGAAGACTTCCTGTTACATATGTACATCTGAAGGTAGTTGAATTGAATCAAGTAAGTTTCGAAGATATGAAGGAGATACTCGTTGTTCTTCGCTTGATTACTAACTCTCCTAATTTGAGGGAACTTCAGATTTCGGTGAGTGTTATGGTCTTATATTTTCATTGGTGGTTGCCGTTGATTTATGTTTCTGTTTCATGTGCTATCTTATTGTTTCGGTGAGTGTCAAGGCCATATTGTTTCGTTTTAGGGTTCCTCGAACACATTAGCTACTATAGATGCACCTGATTTGGATTTTTGGGATGATGAACGCCCTTCGGATTGCACATTCAAACAACTCAAACTTGTGAAGATGACGGATATGTCCGGTGTGCCTCATGAGATGGAGTTCATCAAATTTCTTCTTGCAAATTCGCCAGTGCTCGAGATGATGAGTATCTCACCTTGTGTATATGTCATGGATGGAAGACTGAATATGTTAATCGAGCTGTTGAGGTTTAGACGAGCCTCGGCTCAAGCAGAAATTTTATTCATTCAAGATTAATAAATTATTTGTCTGTTAATCGATTTACTAATTTCTCGTCTTTCTTTCGAAATCACAAACAGTTGGGCAACCAAATGCATATCTCTGTAAAATATTCTTTTGCAATGTGAATAATAACATTACTGAACAGATTGCTGTAGTTTATGTTCATTGCAAGTGAAGTAGTATTATGTCTGCCATATTTGTCATATGAGAATGTGATTTTCTTTGAAAATCATGACTATGCATGCATAGATACATACACCAAAAACGGAAAGTCATCGGTCAGATCGGACTCTCTCTCCGAAGAGGAGAATTCATCAGCTCTTGACCTGGTTGCTTCGGCTTTCTAAGAAGCTTCCCGGAAGACTGTTAGGTTGAAAGATACTTTGCTTGAGGATACCAAACCCAAAAATATATGTTTTCTCATAAGACTGTACGGTCGATAGATATTCCCCTGCTATATGCCTCTCACAGCCGTTGTCACATGTGAATCTCAATGATCCAACAACTTTGCCAGTCTGAAATCTCCGACTACGGCCTCACAGTAATCATCAAGAGGTATATTTGCAGCCTTAACATTCCTATGAATTACCTTTGGATCGCGCTGCTCGTGCAAGCACAATAAGCTCATGGCTAGACCATCAAGAGAGCGACCATGTTCCAGCTACATAGATCAACAGCAGCTTCATCCCAATTGTCAAGAACACCGTGAGGATCGACCAGAAGCTCTTTCATTCCCATTAAAGCTTGCACCCGAACCAAAAAGGAAACAAAAAAAAAATTCAAACAAAACATCCACTTTGTCCCAAGATGTCCATATGTAAGAAAAAGAACAGTTGAGTTACCTTCAAAGTTTAACCCCTTCTGGTGAAAGCAAAGCAGTTGTAGAAACCAAGAAGACGACCAAAGCAACCCAAGATTAAAAAGAAAAGCTGTCTACGTTGAATCCCCATTGTTTTTTCAGTGGTTTGATGCACCAAGAAAGCTTCTTTTTGTAATGAAGCAGGTAAGGAACTGGTACGAGTTTGTTGCGAGCTAAGTTAAACTGAAATTTGATGGTTAAGTGAGATTCTGTTGTTTTTATTATGCAATGCTTACATCAAAGCTTGGTTCGAAGCAGACCAAAACACTTTCCGCCAACTGGTTCAAGTTTAATTGTTTCAGATCATAGCCTACAGTTTCAAATCTTGCGTAGCTAAATCGGTCTTCGGGTGTAACGTGAATGGTGGAACTAGTATCGACTTCAATAAAATTCATTGAGTAATTGCAGGGTTCGAACTCAAAATCTCATATTTCAAAGTATGGAAGGATGTTCCTTATGCCAGAGTTAACAGTCATCCAAGCAGCCGAGCTCGATTGGTCTTTGTAGGAAGCCATTTCGGTTTCCAGATCAGTCATGCACATCTCTGGAGTGTAGGTTGGGGCATGTGTTAACTGATTCAGCTGAAGCAGAGTAAACTTGTCATTTCTGTTGTTTATCGCTCCCCACGCATTAAGCAAACTTCTCTTCCAGCGCCAAGTTTCCCGAAATATTGATGAGGATATGGCTGAGCAACAGGGAAGATGAACAGATTTCACAGTAAGAGAAAGGCCGCCAGCCAACTTCAAGATGGGTGGGATTGCAAGGAGTAACTTTGTCGTCCCGCAGGTTTTGATGATGATCTTGTGAAGATAGACAAAGAGGCTCCACTCCACTCAGAAAAGACATATGAGTCCACAAGTTCGTTCGATAGTGAAGAAAACTATGGTGCATAACACCCTTTGCTTCATTGTCCATAAGGCTTAAAATATGATTGTTTAAAGAGTAAACCTTTTTTTTCAGTTTTATTCATTTGAACATTGGCTTTTTTTTAAATATATATATATATATATATATATTTTAATTATTTATATAATCAATTTATTATAATATTTATTATTTATGCTATTAATTTATTATATTTTAGTCACATTTATATTATCAATTTATTATACTTCAATCACATTTACATGATTAATTTATTATATTTGATCATTGAATACTTAAGTCCAATTAGTTGAATGATCCAATACGTTAATACAAAAGATTACTCTTTTAATTTAACTCCTTAAACTTAATTAAAATATTAATTTAATCTCTAAATTTTAGATAAAATATTATTTAATCTCTAGATTTAGATAAAATATTAATTAAATTTTGAATTTGATCAAAATCTCTCATCACCTATCGCTACTCACCACTATCGTCATCTTCACCGGCCACCGTCATCACTTATCATTAATCCCAGAATTTTCAATACACTCTTTTTATCTCATCAATAAAAATTCAATGCACAATTCGTAAAAAAAATATCTCGAACAATAAATCTAACTTTAAATCCAATGATTTTTTTGAAATGAAACTATAATAATAATAATAATAATATCATTAGTCTTCTTTTTAAAATGCGAGCACTAAAAAACAAAATTTATATCATAATCAAATATGTAAAATTTGAACGATATTGTTATATATTATAAGATTAGTCATCAATGTATAATCACAAAGAATTTGCTAAATACTGAACCACTACCAAACTTCCATTGGAGCAAAAGTAATAGTCCGATCCGAACCGACGAAACCTGTATGAACTGCGTTATCCCGAAATGCGTAATCTGACTTCAACTCAGCATGTTAAAACCGGATTTACAGCGATCTTACAAGAGTGACACTAGAAAAACTGAATCTTTTTAAGCAAATGGTTAAGCTTCTTTCCGAGTAATCCTGTCATTTTTAAGCAAGGGATAAATGGTTAAAAACAGTGAATCTTTCTGAAGAAATGGACCTGAAACACATTGAAGTTCCATGCACAACATTCCTAACCTGAAGCAGTAAATTCCCAAAGCCGTCGTAATTTCGCGAATAACCGATGTGGCGAAGTGAAAGTAGAGTGATCCTGTTTGGCAGAGCGTAACAGCAAGCATATCAGTATGTTGAAGGAACATCGATAGACATGATCTTGATCTCGAGACCGAACCGGAACCGGAATCAGTTTAAGAATATCATGTTCCTAGATTTTGAAGTTAAAGTGGCTGATATAAGATAGCTGCCATACCTGTGAATAAACAGTAACCGAGAAGAACAACGAACTCATCGACCAACGGGACACTGCAAAAATGGAGAAAAAACAGCATTTGCATCCATGTTGTTCGGAAACAACAGATAAAAGCAGAGATAATTCTGGTTAGAAACCACAATCCAACACACATACCCGTCGTTTAATCTAGCTGTAAGAGCATTTGCGATCGCCAATGGAAGATACAAGAGTGACTGCAAACAAAAATAGAACAATCGACCATTTTTCGTAACCAAGTCGATCAAAATGTAATAAAATCAAGAATGCTACTCACCATGCACATGTTAGTTTTTAATCCCTTGGGTTCATCGCATAGGTGAGCCAAAATCATCCGTCCCTGTCGAAACCATTTTTCACTTTTAAGATACCGATGACAATCTCAAAGAGTCATATGACAGAATAAACAAGCAAGCTTTTACCACAAGGAACCCGAATGCAAGTCCAGTACCCAGTATAACTAAATGCGGATAATTTCTCATTACATCGGAGGGCGATAGATGATCCCTTCAGAGTAAGAAAGAAAAGGACTAAATTCGATTTAAGATAAAAAAAAAAAGAAAACAAAAAGGTTGACAATGCTATAAGAGAAAAGATTACAGACTCAAATTACCAAATGAGCACTCCAGCCACGAGTACAACAAAAGGATAAAGCTGAAAAGAAAGAACAAATAATGCGTATTAATTGTTTAAACATACACAGAAGGAAGAAAGAAATGAGTAAAAGTTATGGAATTACCATTGCTAAAGCTGATAACATGCTTCCTTTTCTTGCCTTCACGACCTTATGGACGTTGCATATACTGCAATAGAAACCATACAAGCACATAAGAGAATCTTACCTATACATTACATTACTATGAACAAAATAAAGACTGCTGGACTGATAGAAAACTTGGCCTCTGCAATTCAAATGAGCCTACGAAGCTATGAGTTGAAAATAATAGGGGAATTGATGATGGTGATGCAATTAGATAATGTAATCACGAGAAGCTTCGGCTCTAACATCGGACTGGCTAAAGTGGACTATTTTCCGCAAAAGGACAAAGCATAAGTAATACAAAGCAGTAGTGTAAAACCACAAGAGTGTAGATAACTGCTTACTTGCAAGCCACTGTAGGTAAAACAGCAAATGGTAACAACAAATATACGGCCCCTTTGTACGTTGGAAGTTCTAAAGAAAAAAAAAGTGAATAAGTAAGACACATAGCACAAGATTGTAGAATAAGAACACAGCTGAAACAGGGGTAACACTAAGATATGGCACTGAAAGAAGAACAAACATAGCATATGGTGGCAATCACATATTGAGGAAGTCAAGCGTGAAGCAATCTCATGATAGAATCTAAGATCTTTTGTATATTACATTTACGGTATTTGTGCAGTATGAACGATGTCAACTAATAAAGGCACTACGTGATAATGGTGCGATTGGGAAAAAAAGTAATATCCCATTTTTCTAAACAAAGAACTTACCGGTAACGAAAGGTATCCAACTCAAGAAGGGCAGGGACTGCCTAAATGGCTGATCCCACCACTGGGCACCTTGCAGGGAAAAAGATAAAGCAATTATAAATGGTTAAAAAAAATCAGAATAAGTTCAAAAAGTTTGATGCGTGGAACACACGTGAAATAAAGGTTTCATAGTACAGGCTACCAAAGCGCATGTAAGGAACTATACCAACGATTGCTGTCATAAAGTGCAATGAATATATCAGTGCAAGACCCTCAGTCGGCCCGTTGACAACAGGAAGGATAAGCGAATTGGAGAAATAGCTGCAGAGAAATGAACCACAACAGAAGTATCAGCGTCAATAATAGATCCTTGATGTAGTTTGATTTCTTAGAAAACAAAATTTATAACACTTATGGAATAAACCAAGTAATTGAAGAACTGCAGTGTATGGCAGGATTTCCAAGAAAGGAAAAAAAGAAGAAGCAAAATACACTTCAATTACTCACTGTTCCCATGTAGCACCATAAAACGGTATAGCTGAAATTGCCCAGAACCAGAAACTGCCCGCTCCACACATGGCAGTGCTCCCAAAGGCCATGGTTTCAAACTGTAAAAAGAATAAATATTGTATAATGGTGAAGAATTCTGTAAACCATTGTTATGTGATACAAGTTAAAATACATACCGCACATGCTAGTGCATCACACCCTGCAATATGGCAGGACCATCGAAAAATAATTATCCCATCAGATTTTCCACTAATATAAATAGCAAAGGAGGGGTAATAGATAAAAAGCGAAATTACCATGGTCAAAAAGTTCTCCAAGCGGACTCGAGGAGTTTGTTCGTCTAGCTTGTTTCCCATCAACAGCATCAAAAGTCTGGCAAGGTAATTACATTCATGCTCATCCCCTTCCCAAACACAGCAATGGGATAAAAGAATTTTAAATATATTTCGAGCAAGGTGGATGTATAAACCTGATATAAAAATAGAAGCAACCCGTGTGCAAGATGAACCCATCTCGGTGGGGGTGTATCCAAGCGAGGGGAGTAAACCTGGAACAGCAATACAAATAGAAAAGTGAATGGAAAAATAACATGTACCATTCTCCTAAGCCTTCAAATACACCATCATGCACATAACCAAAATGTTTCCTGAACTATACATCTATATGTGAGAACTACATCATAAATTAAACAGAACACCAGTTGTGTGTCAAACACAGAAACTGCTACGAAGAAATGAAATTTATTTCTACACTAAAATGCAAATGCTAGAGGAAAAAGTAAGAGAATCTATGGTTCTTGCAGGTTAAATCAACTTAAGTGACACCAATACATTTCTCATGGTTTAACTATCATTTACACATAGTGCAAAATCTATGGTTCTTGAAGGTTAAATCAGCATACTCAAGTCATATTAATACCTTTCTGGCAATTAAAAGAACATCATGACCACAAAAACTATCATATTTTGTTCAGTTCAATCCATTCGAGCATAAATAACATTCAACCAACCACAGAAAAGGAAATGGTTGGAAGCTATAGAATAAAGAACACACTTTCTCATCTCCTTTGAACTGAACATCAGTGAAGATTAAATGAAATATAATTTGCAGCAAATTGGTATAAAACTAAAACTTCTAGAGAATTGATAAAATCTTGCATCAAAAGAAAAAGGGCTCAACACTGAATCAGAAGTCAAAATAAATAAAAATTTTGAAGAATATAAGGAGAGAGAGTTCCCCACTCACAAATCCAAGTAGTGCAGATATAACCAAGAACATAAATCCTGTAAGTGTTATCTTAAGAAACAAAAGCATAAACAAATTAATAATCAAATAAGACATGTAATACATGCAAATGCACTCTGTGGACACATGTATGATGTCTCTGTATGTGCAAGCATGCATCTACAGTGAAAACACATTTTAGTAGTAGTATTAGTAGTACTAATAGTACTAAGCGTTGCATACCATGTTTGGTCTGGTGAACATGCCAAGCCGGAAACATGCACATATACAAACATACATAAATTCATTAGTGCCAGAAAACATCACAAAAATGCTTAAAACCCCATTGAAGCACATGATATGGTCTTTAAAACTTAAACTTTCACACAAATGTAAAACCCAAGTGTATGTACAAGTATGGAGCAGTCCACGCAGGTATAGATAGACTGACAAGAACCAACTTACGGCATCCAAAGAGGGAAGAAGGTAACAAAGCGGTTCCAAAAGGGTTGCAATACATATTTAGCAAGGTAAGAGTGATCCACGCCACTGTATTTGTATCTATGCAAAGCTGCCATGCCATGTGCCCCCATATACCCCATTCTTCCTTGTTAACAAAATATCTGAGACCTGCTAAAACTGGAACTTAAAATTTATATGATTTCAGTAAGCAAACAATTGGATGTAAATGAAAACTTCTCAAAACAAGAAAAACACGAAACCCCAACAAGGAAATTAAGATAAAAGATTAAAAAAAACTTCAAGTTGATATTTTTACCAAAATGATTTGCTTTTTCAAACCAATAGCCATTACAGGTGCAGAGTATGGAAAGATAGGTTACTATAGATCATGACATAAAAAATATTATGTTTCCAAAAGAGGAACAAACTGATAAAATAACATAGAAGATCAGCAAAAAAAGTAGAACAAAAGGGGGGGAAAAGATGGGAATTTGTATACCTATTAGAAACAGAGATCAAACGAGAAAATTTAATTCTTGAAAGATTATGGCATTGGATCAACTAATGCAAAATAAAGCAACAGTTTTTTCTTTTGTTTTTTGTTTCTCTCCCGCCTTTCAAATGAACGAAGCAGTAACGCAGGGAAAATAAAAACGGAGTTTTTATATTACTTAAAAGAAGGAAAATGAAAGTCAAAAACAGAAATGCGAGTTAAAGGGGATTTTATTTTATTGTCTTTTTAAAATTATAATAATTTCTTAATTTTTTTTATAATTATCGATGTCTTACTCGTATCGCAAAGGTTTATTATCGAACGACATTTTCTTTTTTTTTTCTTTTTTCTTTTTCTGAATGAAGCAAAGCTAAAGTATTAAAGATCATTAGGATCTTATGAAAAATGGATCATAAACATTTCTATATAGGATTGAAACAAAGTCATCTGATGATGTGTTAAAGAGAACTAACTATAAAAAATAATTTTATTATTAATATCATTAATATGTTCTTAATTAGAGATAAAACGTCTTATTATATAAAATTAATTGACAATTAATTATAATATATATATATATATATATATTAAAATAAATTTAAATGTGATTAATATGAATAAAAAAAATATGAAGTGAACTCGATCTACACCAATAAGAACTCAAAAATAAAATTTAACATTAAAATAAATCATATTATAAACTAGTTCAATAATATCTTAATCATTAAAATATTTTAAATTTTAACTATATTCAAAACATTAAATACATAGTCCAATAAGAACTACAGATCACATTAAAAGTGTTTTAATTTTAACATTGGAATATTTTGTTAGTAATAATAGTTTAATTGAGTAATTAAATTAAAACTTTTAAAAACAAATGACTCATTCATTATCAAACTAATAATTAAATGATATGGATGTTTTTTACCCATATATAATCCAGGGCTTGGCCTCAGTTATTTAGGCATACTAGTGCTAGTAAAACTCCACCGACTAAAAGCTAACGGAGGAAGTTTGAGCTAAGCTTAGCGCAGCCACCAGCTATCGCGGAGGTGGTCGGAGTAAAAACCAAAACAATCAAACACCAGCACTTCCACATCGGCAACTAGTTTAGCCGGAGTTAACAACGTACGACAAACAGGACAAGTGGAGGAATAGCTATAACCAAGCCATCTATCCAAGCAAACCTTATGAAAAAGATGGTTACATCTCATCGTCTTCTTGGATTTCACATAGGCATACAGCACAAGTAACCTCCTCGACTTCGTCTTTGTCGGTGCCGCAGCCGTTGTATCGGACGACGCCGACTTGATCGACATTACTGACGGGTACCGGTAGAAATGGCTGCACGGTGTAAATGTTGGGGAAGAAGCAATGGTTAAGTCAAGGTGGATAACAGTATTGAAACCCACATTTTTGCATGTAGTCCCTGCCCCATCTACAGTATTGAAAGAGATGGTAAAACAGACAACAGTGTGGATGACAGACGGAAGTAAAGAGAACACCACTCAAACCAAACACGTACAAGGTGGTCCATTCACTGAGTTAGCCAGACGTACGATAACAGTTTTGGTTAACGTATAGGCAACTCATGAAAAATGATCACGCGCAGTCTCTAGAAACCACCATCGTGTCCACTCGGTTCCTTCGTCCAATGTTTAGTCACTTCTCCATGTTGTGACCCATCCATTCTTTCATGTTTCAATGTTCACATTTTGCTGTCTGATTCATTTACAACATATAAATTTTGATAAAATCTATTTTAATCATACATCTTTTAATTTATCAATTATATCATTCAACTACTTTAATAATGCCAACCAAATCACTTGTCATTAGTTTTTGATGAAATAGTTTATACGTCAGTTAACATATTTGGTATAATTACACATTTGATCTCCATTATTTATGTATTTTATCTATTTAGTCTTAGTTTTATTTTTATTCAATAAATGTATCTCTCCAATCAAGTGGTGACACGTATCACGATCTGATTGGAGGTTTTCTTATTAATTTTAATTTATTTAATTCAATAAATTTTCTCTCCAATCAGATAATGATATGTGTAAGTAACGATGACTAAATGTGTAACTATTAAATTTGTTAATTATCATGTCATCTATTCCGTCAAATATTATCAACACGTGACTTAATTGATATCATTTAAATAGTTAAGTGATATGATTGATATAATTAAAAGATGAATGATAAAAATAGAATGCATCTAAGTGTATGTTAGCCTAAATTTGATATCCGATTTGGTTTGTTTATCCAATATAAATCCATTCTCGAGATATGTATTTTTGGACCACACCTTTTGTTTGATGTCTATTGGGTCATTGGTGTATTGTGTATATAAAGGGGTGCATGTTTTGATCTGAGAGTGGCGAGCATGGGTAGGAGAAGGAGGAGCTTGAAGGAGCTTTCTAGCTGCAAGAAGAGGTGTCTGGCTATGGCGAAGGAGCAGAAGTCAAGGTTTTACATTTTGTGGAGATGTGCAATCATGCTACTGTGCTGGCATAAGCATGGGGATTCTTAGCTTCTTCTTTTTTAATGGGGTTTTCTTTTCCCCTCATAAATAATGCTTAGATTGTTCTTATACCAAGTTATAAGATAATGTATATTTGCTTTGTTTTCCTTTAACGTGGCCAATGCTCCGACTCATAATTTCATCGATGCTTTGTTTAACCTATTCTCGTTTCTTGCATGTGAACCCAACCAGTGATGGGGTTGCTTATCACCACCTTGCTGCGGTTAATTGTAATGGCAACTTATTTAGGGAGGGGGTGTTTGATACGAACTTGACAGGTTTTGACTTGATCTTATATGATCGTTTTTACAAAGAAAAAAAATTGAATTCGACTATGATTTTTTGAAGGATAATGTGACGTTGGGTCGGATTCGGATTTAGATGAAAAATATCTAACATAATTCGGGAATGATAGCATAATTAACCTTTATATATTTTATAATAAATGATATAATACCATTATTTCTATTTTTTTTCAATTACCTATCTATTTTACCTAACATAAAAGAGAATTAAATATATTCATGTCCGATCATGTCAAATATTGGTTTTTACTTAAAAATGAAGTTGTATAAAGCTTTTTAAAATTTATGAAAGATTGAACGGTTGACGGACACATATTATACTCAAATCAAGTTTGAGTGGACTAAAAACTCGATCCTATCTTAACCATGACAATGATTATAATTCGAATTTTGTTCGAGTTAGTTAAAAAAAACAATACAATTTATTTAGTGAAGGAATAAATCAACAGAAAAATTGAAGATTAGTGTCCATACACTTATAAATATGCAGCTAGGATTTCTGAGTTCAAAAGAAAAGGTTTTGATTGCAGTGTGTTTAGGATTTGTTGTGCGTCTCTTATCATCCCTCTTATATTTTTATCGTTGACATAATTAATTTTCATTCTATGCATATAATTTTTTTTCTGAAAAAAAAATCCACTCAAAATTTTGTATTTATTTTTCTCTTTATATTATTTCATGATTAGTTACTTATCATTATCCATAACATTATGTGTCAAAAAAGCATTTTTCTAATAAAGAAAGTTTGAAAACATGAGGATGTGGAAATGAAAAGAAAATAGAAGAAGAAAATAGGATTCTAGAATTTATGTGTGCGTACAACTTTTAATGATTGATGTATCTTTGTAAAATCATTTTCTACGTATTATTAATATAGTAAAATAGGATTCTAGAATTTGTGTTCGTACAGCTTTTATGGAACTGTAACTTACAAGTTGGCTCTCATGTCTGAAAAAGAATGAGTGGTGACCCCGCTTTCTTTTACGGCTGCTACGGTGACTGTGACAATAACCTCCGACTAAAATCGTAAAGGCCTCACATGTCAATGCTCTCTCGCCCGAGACATAACATTTCCTATACTCATCAAACTATGGAAAAGAAAGATGTTCAATGACCGCTCGACGGTCGGTAATGCTCGTCGCTCTAGCTTATCGTGCTCCCGAATTGCAAACCGCATGGCCAGTGGCTCATTAGAAAGTAGCACTCCACAAAGCATTCTCGCCTTCCCCGCACCGTTGATGAACCTCTTTAATCCTATCGGCGGACCGGCAGATTCCGCTGCAGGTCCAATCAAAGGAAGCAACACAAACGTTACCAGCTCAACCCTCCAACGTAATCGTCACATTATATGGAATCGGTATCGGCTGCTTCCCTATTCTCGACTCCTTACACTCAACAGCCTTCCTCACCAAACAAACGAGAGTCCTAGGAAAGCTGGGAAGGCAAATCCCAGACCTCAAATTGCTGAAAACACCAGAAGAAAGTAATATACTCGAAAATGAAGTGAATAAAACAATCTTATTCTTAAATTCAACCGAAAAAACGAACAACATTAAACCAAAGATAATCAGCTAAAAAATGGGAAAATAACCTGGCTGGTAAAGATATAATTGAAGAAGCCATTTTTTCATCAGCTCTGGCCTTTCACCGGTGAAGCGAATAAACGAAGGGCGGGTTTATCCAAGATGATTGTATTGAGGATCAGAGATGGTTTTAGTTAATGACAGTATTACCCTTTTTAAAAGGAATGGGTTTTCACTGCATCGGTTAGTGGACCGAGCTTGACAATATTTCAGGGAGAAGGTGAATTGGACTCGTTTATCAAATTCATGTACTGGACAAAAATATATATATAGATATTAGATTCAAGTACTAAATAATTAAACTGATATCTGATTTATCGATTAATTAATCTAAATTGAATTTTATAGAGGCCCATTGTCGTAGGGGCGTGAAAATTTCCGATTCGAATGATTCGATCTGTTTATCCAATCTGAATATTCGGATATTTAGATAATTTGAAGTTGGGATTTATCATATTCGTATCCGATACAATTATCCAAAAAAAATTATCAGATATATGATCCAATTTTTTCATATAATTCAAATAAAACATCCAATAAAAATTTCAGATAATTAGATCGAATACGAATATAACAAATCCCAACTTCGAATTATCTAAATATTCGGAAAATAAATGGTCCTTTAGCTCTAAGCCCACTAGCCTTGTATTTCACGGAGAGCTCTCCCAGAGCCCAGCCTAAAATAACGAATGCATGGTTACAGGTTTCAGCTACATGCTTTTTTCTAGTTTCCATATCTATAAACAATGCTTAAACCACCTTCCAAGTTGGTATTAAATTTTTATTCTATCAATTAAATGAATATATTTTAGGTAAATTATCTAAAAATCACTCAATTTGTAGGGTGTTAATGTTTTGGTAAAAATATTCTTACAAATTAGTTATTTTAATTTATATTTTGATTATTCAATTTCAAATGTTATCGTTTTAGTCATTCAATTTTTTTATATTAACAACTCAACTATTCTAGATGAAAAATTTAAAACTAATTTATTATTTATATTCGATAATTTTTTATTAGTAATAATTTTAGAATCAATTTATTATTTATATTTTATTAGTAATAATTTTTTTGTTTTTCAAATTATAAACGATGTGTTCGGAACGGATATTCGGATCATTATGGGGGCGACCCTCCCAACACAATTTGCTCTATATAATATCTAAATATAAAGATTTTTTTATTAATCTAAAGTGATTATAAGGGGTAGTATTTGTTCTAAAGATTCACAATCATTTACAATGAAAGTTCAAACACCCTTATAAAATCTGGTGCTCGAATCTATGACCACTAAACATAACAACCATCATTTTAACCACTAAGATAATTTATAAAAAATCTTAAACACTTTTAAATCCACACTCTATTATATATTGTAACTATAATTCTATCGATCAAATTAAATTTAATCGATAATAAAAATACGTTTTTCAGTGTGAATGTCTTTCTTTTTAGATGGAATTGGATGCTAAATAAAATCACTTTAATGATAAGCATCAAATTCAAAAAGCATACAAAAACAAATATAATAAAAAATATGATGAAAAATATCCATACGAAAAAATCACATAAAGTGAGTACATATAAATAAATTTATTTAACGATAGATTAAAAAGTATTTTTTAATATATATATATATATATATATATATATATATATGAATAAGAAAAATTGAATTTTAGGAACCTGAAGAAAATATGAATCCGTCACTGAATTCGAGATATAATAAATCTATTTCTTAGAAAGCATTAATTTTGATTCATTAGTTTCTGTTTTCAGTTCATTAAAGAAACTTTGTACACAACTACATGCAAGTAGTACTCATATATGATAAATCTCTTTCTTGGAAAACATTACTTTTGATTTATTAGTTTGGGTGTTGCGTTGAGGATACGGAATTCGATATTTTTAAACAACATTTTGAATTTAATTTTAAAAATAAATAATTATTATCATTTAATTTATCGAAAAATAAAAAGTTTAAATAATCGAGTTGATGGGTATTATTTTATTTTTTATTTTTTAAAAATTAAGCGAGAAGTATAAAATTCTGTGTCTCAAATCAAATATATTTATTCAAACTTCTTTTTTAATTTAACTTTACTTATATTATTATACTAAACGACCCTCTCTGATCGTATTATATATATTTATATTCATTATTTTCACATTTGTACGTAATATTTGTATTGTTATTAAATAAATTCCTCAATAGAATTGAGTTTTTTCTCCCATTTTAAAGGAGCGAATGCCTGCTGTTATCAGTGGGCCGGATAACGGAGGGGTTGCAGCCATCGTTGATGAGCTTCCTTACGTGGAATTATTTCTGTCGAAGCGAACCGAGTTCGGGATTATTGGCCAACCGTTTACAAGGAGTGGATGGGGATTTGTAAGTACTTTTCCTCTGCATACGCTAAAATGCATTCATACACATATAGCTGGACTGCCGGCGTTTCTGATCATATATTAACCTCATTGTATCAGCCTTTATACAGAGATTCTTCGCTTGCCATTGACATGTCAACCGCAATCTTGAAACTTTCCGAAACCGGAAAGCTTCAGGAAATCCATGCTCGATGGTTCTGAAAAATGGGATGTCCGGGAGAGAGGAGAACGAGATCCGAACCGAACCAACTCCACTTAGTCAGTTTCTGGGGCTTGTATCTTTTATGCGGCACGATCAAGTTTATAATGATATAAATATATGAATATTTTAATACGTAAAAAATATATAATTTTAGTAATAATTTAACACGTAAAATAAATAATTAACACGTGTTACATGTTCTTGCTTTTCATAAATTTTCTAGGAAAGTTTTACGAAATTGTCGAAGTCTCTTAAGTCTTAACAATATTAAATTCTCAGCCACCAAACAGAAAAATAAAGAGTGGAGCACCCCATCGTTTTTATTATGACTCGTACTGACGAAATTTAAAAGAATAAAATAATAAATTTATTATCTTACTGAATTTCTACTAAATATTCTAGTGGAAAAAATAAATTATATATTTTCTCTTAAAGATACCAAATGTTCCCAACATCTTTTCAAATATGTTAAATGCTTTTCATATCTTGGGACTAATATTGTAGTAAACACTCAATTAAAAAAATAAATTTTTAACATCTTTTCTGAATTATTATTTTTCATTATATTATTTAAGAAAAATTGTCGAGGGCAGAAAAAATATGACTCTAATTTTTTTTTTAATTTTTTTAAATATTATTAAAATTTAGAGTCCTTAAATAATAAAAAATAATACATTATTTCATTAAATTTGTTAAATATTTTATATATATTAAAAAATACTAACAGAACTTATTATTAAAATTTGGTGTGAGATATATAAGATTATTTCAAAATAAATTTGTAATCAACTGTTTAAAGTCTAGTGCCAAGTCCAACCTCCGTCACCGATCAAACAAAGAAGAAAAGGAATCATTCTTTACTTAAAGGCATGTACAACTATTGGTGAAGCTTTGAGTATGTAAACGGTCATCTCACCTACCCAGCTCTCCTTCAATCCCTTACTGACTTTTAAAAACACTATCCTGTAGCCTGTAGGTGATTCAATCAGCAATATCTTCAAATTCTTTTTCTTTAATATATATTCTTTGTTCATTGGCTCAGCATGGTGTTTTTCCTGGACGGTTTGAAAAACACTTGTGCATTATTAAATTCCACTACTGCTTCCTTTGTCATCTAAAGCTAAGATTAAATTTCATGTTAAATCCAAAATTCTCCCTTTTGAATATGCTTTGGGTCTATTAGTCTTTATGCTGTTCCACTGTTCTTTCTACCTCATCTTGGTTTTTCATCCCAAGAATTGCATGGATTTCTCCTTGACTCCCCCGGTTGTTTTCATGTTTTTTTCTTACTCTCTTGGCAGGTGGTGTTATTGTCTGGTTTGAGGCAGCAAAATAGGGTTGTCTGGTTCCTTTCCCAGGTTTCTGTCTTGGATAAGCATGAAGGGGGTCTTGTTGCTTTTGTTGAGCCTTTGGTTCATATGGTCCCCTGTGGGAGTTTTTTCCAGTTCTGGGAATACATCATCATCTTCTTTGAAGCCAAAGGTTATACATATTGGAGCTCTTTTCACTGTGAACTCAGTTATTGGGGGAGCAGTAAAGCCTGCACTCGAAGCTGCCATCGATGATGTCAACTCTGATCCCAACATTCTTAATGGGATCGAATTGAAACTCGTCTTGCGCGACACGAATTGCAGTGGATTTATTGGAATCATTGAAGGTAATTTCTATGGTATCCTTCAAATTGAATTGATCTTCAAGTACCCTTTTATCTGTTTACATTGCTGTATTGAATGTATCATTCTGCTATTGATTTCGCCATATTCCGGTATCGGATTGGGTAAATGAGACAATCTGTGTTAATGTAATGTGTTGATAGTTTGAACATTCGGTATGAAGTGCCTCTTTGTATGTTATATTTGATCCATTTGATCTCTTTCTCCAATGATCTAATCTGTATGCTTATGTTATTCAATGATGTTACTTTTATCATGTTGCGAATTCGCAGTTTCAATTTTGTAGTTCTGAAATCTATATGTTGTCATTGCTTTTGCTAAAGTGTCCTGTAAAATCGAGTAGCTAGGAATATTAGATTCCAGTAGGATTATATGCGTGTTAATATGCTGTCCGTATTTATGTAGCTTTGCAGATGATGTTACTTTTATCATGTTAAGATTTTGCAGTTCCGATTTTGTAGTTTCGAAATCTATATGGTGTCATTGCTTTTCCTAAAGTGTCCTGCAAAATCGAGTAGCTGAGGGATACTAGATTCCGGTAGGGTTATATGCGTATTGATATGCCGTCCCCTTATTTATGTAGCTTTGCAGATGATGCAAAGCGATATTGTGTTGGCGATTGGTCCGCAATCGTCCGGAATAGCTCATGTAATCTCCCATGCTGTTAACGAACTTCAAGTCCCTCTTCTCTCGTTTGGAGCAACGGATCCCACTCTTGCTTCCCTGCAGTTCCCTTATTTCCTCCGAACTACACACAGTGACTACTTCCAAATGTATGCGATTGCCGACATAGTCGACTATTACGGCTGGAGGGAGGTCATAGCAATATTTGTGGATGATGATTACGGAAGAAATGGTATTTCTGTTTTAGGCGATGCGCTGGCTAAGACACGTGGCAAGATTTCCTATAAGGCCGCATTCAGCCCCAAAGACCCCGTAAGTAAGATCAGCGACTTGCTAGTGGAGGTGAACCTGATGGAGTCACGAGTTTTCGTAGTTCATGTTAATCCTGACTCTGGTTTGAACGTCTTTTCTGCTGCTAAAACTCTTAATATGATGAGCGGTGGCTATGTTTGGATTACTACAGATTGGCTTCCATTGTATTTAGATTCGAGGGAGGCAGTTGATTCTGACACAATGAATCTCTTACAAGGGGTTATTGCTCTCCGTCGTTACACCCCGGAGACTGATCTCAAAAAGAGGTTTATGTCTAGATGGAACGACCTAAAATATAAGGGGAGTTCGGGTCCTGGAGGCTTCAATTCTTATGCACTTTACGCTTATGATTCGGTTTGGTTGGCTGCACATGCCCTCGAAGTTTTTCTCAATGAAGGTGGAAATGTATCTTTCTCCAGTGACCTGAAATTGGGTGACACGAATGGCAGCACACTCAACCTGTCGTCCCTTCATGTGTTCAATGGAGGCCAACAACTTCTCCAGACACTTCTTCAGACGAGCTTCACCGGTCTAAGTGGTCAGATTCAATTTGATCAACAGAGAGATTTAATTCATCCGGCATTTGATGTTCTTAACATCGGTGGAACCGGGGCTCAAAGAATCGGTTATTGGTCGAATCACTCTCATCTCTCAATTGTTCCTCCGGAGAACTTATATACAAAGCCTCCCAACATCTCTTCTGGCAGTCAACATCTTTACAATGCAATATGGCCCGGTGAAACTTCAAAACCACCAAGGGGATGGGTCTTCCCGAACAATGGACAGCCACTACGAATTGCCGTACCTAACAGAGTAGGTTACAAAGAGTTGGCGTCAAAAGACAATAGGCCCCAAGGTGTAAAAGGATACTGCATCGATGTCTTTGAAGCTGCAATAAACTTGCTCCCGTATGCTGTTCCTCGTACGTATATGCTATTCGGGGACGGTACTAAAAATCCTAGCTATAACGATCTTGTTTATCAAGTTTCCCAAAATGTGAGTGACATTATATGATTTCGGTTTCCTTCTCGATATTTAGGTGCCTGTAATAATACTGACTTGCTCCTCTTTCCTCTTCAGAAATATGATGCAGCAGTTGGAGATATTACAATTGTTACAAACAGGACGAAAATCGTAGATTTTACGCAGCCTTATATGGAATCTGGACTCGTTGTTGTTGCTCCGGTCAAAGAGGTGAAGTCGAGTCAGTGGACATTCCTCAAGCCTTTTACTAAAGAAATGTGGTTCGTCACGGTTGCATTCTTTCTTTTCGTGGGAGTCGTAGTGTGGATTCTCGAGCACCGGATAAATCCCGAATTCCGTGGTCCTCCGCGGCAACAGCTTATGACAATTTTTTGGTTAGTCCTCTTTAAAATAGATGACTACTATTTATTGAACTTGAAATTAATGGAAACAAGGATTATACTGATAATTCTTTTCCTAATTCCAGGTTTAGTTTCTCGACGATGTTTTTCTCGCATAGTAAGTAAATCGTGATAGTCCTTTACGACATTTACACTTATCATATGTAACGCTTCAATGAACCAGTTCCGAAAACTAATAAAACTACCGACTCTTGCTTCGAGTTGATGCAGGAGAAAACACGGTGAGCACTTTGGGACGTTTGGTGCTGATCATATGGCTGTTCGTAGTTCTGATTATCAATTCAAGTTACACGGCTAGTTTGACATCAATACTTACCGTGCAACAGCTGATGTCAGGGATTCAAGGGATCGATAGCTTGATCTCGAGTTCCGAACCTATAGGAGTCCAAGACGGTTCGTTTGCATTCAACTATTTGGTTGACGAGCTCAACATAGCACGGTCTAGGATAGTTCAGTTAAAAAATCCAGAAGCATATCTGAGAGCACTTAATCTCGGACCGAAGGCAGGTGGTGTAGCTGCCATAGTCGACGAACTTCCTTACATCGAGCTCTTCTTATCTAGCACCAAGTGTTTGTACCATACCATCGGCCAAGAATTTACGAAAAGCGGATGGGGCTTCGTAAGTGTCAACGTTTAACTTCTGTCATTTTCATACAAATTGATGTGCATTCTCATTTTATACGGTTTCAGGCTTTTCAAAGGGACTCTCCTCTTGCGGTCGATCTCTCGACCGCAATCCTTCAACTCTCGGAGAACGGCGATCTCCAAGAAATCCACAAGAAGTGGCTAACGCACCGCGAGTGCTCGATTCAAATCAACCAAGAAGAAGATAATCAGCTTGACTTAAGCAGCTTTTGGGGTCTGTTCCTCATTTGTGGCATTGCTTGTCTGTTGGCTCTTACATTCTTCTGCTACAGAGTCTTCTCTCAATACCAGAGGTTTAGCCCCGAAGATGAGGAAACGGAGCTAGTGGATATTGAACCGTCGAGATCATCTCGGCGGTCCATCCGATCGAGTAGCTTTAAGGACATGATGGATTTTGTAGATAAGAAAGAAGCAGTGATTAAAGAGATGCTGAAGAGAAAGAACAACAATGAAAGCAAACAGACGGGTCATAGCACTAATGGACAGGCAAGCTCACCTGCGTAAACGGATACATGTTTTCTTTATTATGTTAGAATCAAATTAACCGTGAATCCTAAAATTGAAAGTATTTTTTATTAATTAATTAACCTAATAGGATTAACCCCACTTGAAAATTTTATATGATTATTTCCAGGATGTGGTGAATGGAAAATTTTAAGATATATATTTTTAAACATTATTATCTAATTATCATTAATGTATCAATTACTATATAATAATGAACAAAGATGTATGTGAAACATTGGTCAAATCATTAGAGAACAGCAAGTTTCCACGTCTGCTTCGTTGAATTTGATATATATTTTTTCTAGAGACAACTTCGTATTAAATTGAATGTCCCCGACAGTTATTACCTACCCGATATATTTTGACACCGACCGGTCACCTAGCTTTATCTTTTTTTGAAAGTCCCCATCACCTAGCTTTAGATCACTACAAAGGAGCATAAGTAATCTTAATCATCTAATGTTATTTTTTAAAATTTTAGGTTTAAACATATTGTTTACATGAATATTTAGAAGGTTATTATTAAATGATTGAGATTTTTTTAAATAAATATTATTTTTTAATAATTTTAAATTAATAAATAGTCATTCTGAAGGGAAAATTACGTATAAATTATTAATTTATCTTAAAAATGATAATAATGATTATATAAATAATTTATATTTAATAAAAGATATTATTTTTATTAAAATAAAAATACAAAGAATTATAATGAATGTTTATGTTGAAAATTAGAAAAAACTGAGATTGAATAATTCTGCTCGTATTAGAATGAGTATAATACAAGTATATATATAGTTTTAATCTAACTAACTAATTGACAATTAGTTATAATTAAAACATAAAATAACAAATTTAACTTCTAACACTCCCCCTCAAGTTGGAGAGTAAAAGATATCTTTTACACCCAACTTGGATACAAGATATTCATGTTGTTGCACACCAAGAGCTTTAGTAAATATATCTGCTAATTGTTCTGAAGAATATACAAATTATGTCTTGATAAGCCCTTCTTGTATTTTCTCTCTTACAAAGTGGCAGTCAATCTCTATATGCTTTGTGCGCTCATGATAAACTGGATTTGCTGCAATCTGAAGAGCAGCCTTGTTATCACAATATAGCTTGATCGGATATTTTCTTTCCGACCCAAGCTCGTTGGCCAAACCATTTAACCAAGTCAATTCTGCTGATGCAACAGCCATGCTTCTATATTCTGCTTCAGCAGATGATCTGGCTATAATATTTTGCTTCTTAGATTTCCATGAAATCAGAGAACTTCCAAACTTGATGCAAAAACCAGAAACAGACCTTCTCGTGATAGGACACGCAGCCCAATCTGAATCACAATATGCTTCAAGTTCATTGCTGCTGTTCGAATTCATCAATATCCCTTGACCTGGATTCTTTTTAATGTACCTCACTATCCTCAAAGCAGAAAACAAGTGAGATTCCTTAGGCTGTTGCATAAATTGGCTCAAGTAATGTACAACAAAGGTTATATCAGGTCTGATATGTGTGAGGTAAATGAGTCTTCCAATAAGTCTTTGATAAACACTCTTGTCAACTAACAATTCATCTACTTTATTACTCCCTGATGTGTACAACTTATCATATTCTGTAGTAGTAAGCCTAATTTTCTGTTCAAGAGGTGTTTTTGCTGGTTTTGAACCACTCATTCCTGTTTCCTCAATCAACTCAAGTGCATACTTACGCTGATTAACTAGAATTCCTTCTTTTGATCTCATAATCTCAAGACCCAAAAAATACTTCAGTTCACCAAGATCTTTCATTTTAAATTTCTTGTTCAAAAGACTCTTCAAATCATCAATCAAACAATTATCATTGCCAGTGATCAACAAGTCATCAACATAAATCAGCAAAACTACAATCTTTTTATCTTTTCTCAATGTGAACAAAGAATAATCAAACTTACTTTGTTCATAACCAGCCCCTAAAAGAGCCTCAGTTAACTTCAAATTCCACTGCCTAGATGCTTGTTTCAAACCATAAAGGGATTTTTGCAGTCTACATACCATATTCTCCCCCTGACTGCAAAAACCAGGAGGAAGTTCCATAAACACTTCCTCAGACAAATCTTCTTGTAAAAAAGCATTATACACATCAAGCTGAAACATAGGCCAATCAAAAACAGAAGCAATGGCAAGGAGAAAACGAACAGTGACCAACTTAACCACTGGTGAGAAGATATCCACATAGT